ACCCAGGTCCGTGGTAGTAGAAGACAGTTTAATGTGCCTTCTATTGCTCCTATTCTGACCCCAGGATTTGAAATGACTTCTAATTGTCTTAGTTATACGTTTGCATTCTCTCTTCCAACTCCTATTATTTTAGCTATAACATAGAACTGGCTAGACAGTTTTCTCAAATATAAATACAAAATCACGTCCTACTCTCAGTGTTTCGGTTCAGCGGGTAGGGTGGGACTCAGGAATTTTCATTATTTACAAGGCTACCAGGTAATTATGATGCAAGCGGTCAGGAACCCATGAGAATCACAGAACTGGAGTCTTTCTAAGGCCTCCATCAGTCACTCTCCAGGGTTAAGTGGTGTTTGTCAGGAGTTCAGCTGAGCTGAGGGAGAGTGTACTGAGCTGCCAGTGTCAGAGTAGGCAATTAAAGCAACAAGCGAAAAATGAAAGAGTTAATCCTTTAAGGGCTTCCTGTGGTGGTATAAGCCAGAGTCTAAAACCAGAGAAAACGCCGACTCCCCCTGTTCCATTTTCCCCCGTGGAAAGGTGCACCAGTGGAGGGCCAGGTGGAGCAGCACAGACATGAGAGTCATCTCACTGTTGAGGGAGCCCCAACAAAAGGCTCTCTTAGGTTTATGGACTCTGGGGATGGCATGGGGTGAGGTGGAAGGCTAGGAGTGGAGAAGTACTGGGTACTGAGTCAGAGTGGGGTAAAGTGTCTTCAAGTTTCCCCCGCCTCCCCCCATAAGGAGGCCTTGGCAGAGGCGCCTAAAGAAGACTTCTGCCCAAGACCTCAGATAAGGAGACCTAGGAATGAAGGCACAGAGGCTAGGAATGTAAATATGGAAAGAACTTGACCAAGGAGGGGGTCCTGAGTCCTTGACTGCAAATTCCTTCAGAGACCTCGAGGCATGGGCTGTGCACACAGGCTGGTGTGGGGAGGGCAGCTTCCCTGTGAGGCCCGCCAGGTAGAGCCTTTGTAATGCCTGTGAGGATGAGGATGGGGTGTTTAACCAGGAGCCGGACTCCTCAATGTTTAGGAATGTACGTTGCTTCTTTCTTGTCACCAGGGGATTGTTTAACCAGGACATTAAGGGCTCTGGGGAGAAAATAGCAAATTGAGCCAGATTCCCCTGATGGTTATTTCACAACCTAGTGACAAGATAGAAACCTTGAGGACTAGACATTTAGGCATTTATTTATTAAATAATGCTTGATTGGCTTGATAGAAACATTGCAGGTCTCAAAGCCAAGGAAAAACTTGAGATCTTGAAAGAATCTAATGACAAATAGCAATGTTTTAAAATTATATTTGGGGCTATTTAACACTTAGGCACATTCAATCATCCAACCAGCCAATATTTACTCTGTGTATATATATACCCTGTGCCTGGCATTCTTCTGAGAGCTTGGTACACATCAGAGAAGAAGATAGAAAAGATCTCAGCCCTTCTCATGGCTAATTCTAGCAGAAGAGACAGATAATAATACACAAAACAAATGAATTGCCCAGTGTGTTAGAAGGTGATAAGTACTATAAAAGAAAAGAAGTATAGTGGGATAAGAGAACTTAGTAGCATATGGGGAGAACTGAAATTTTGAATAGGGTGATCAGAGAAGGCGTCATCTTCTTTTTAATAGACCCAACAATCCCATGCATCTCTGATTTATCTTTATATTGCTGCTAAATTAATTTTACTAAGACTTCTGATTATACCACTTTCTTGCTCAAAAATCCTTGATGATTCCCCGTTGCTCAAAGGATAGAGTATAAGTTCCTATTCCTGGCATTCAAGATCCTCACCGTCTGGCTCAGTTCTCCCCATGGCCTCTTCCCTGCTCCAGCAGACCAGACTATTCACTGTACTCTGGCCACATCCTGTACTTTCCTCCCTCAGAGGGTGTGTTCCATTGCCTCATCCCCTTTGCTCTCTCTCCATTTCATTATTTTGTTGTTGTTAATTTTCTTTTTTTTAAATTTATTTTATTGAGGTCACATTGGTTTATATTATATAAATTTCAGGTGTACATCATTATATTTCAACTTCTGTATAGACTGTATCGTGTTCACCACCAAATGTCTAGTTTCTACTTGTCACCATTATATGTGGCCCTTTACCTCTTTAACCACTCCCCCCACCCCTTTCCCCTCGGTAATCACCAATCTGTTCTCCTTATCTATGTGTTTGTTTGTTTGTTTATCTTCCACATATGAGTGAAGTCATACAGTAATTGTCTTTCTCCCTCTGACTTATTTTGCTTAGCATAATAGCCTCGAGGGCTAGCCACGTTGTTGCAAATGGCACGATTTTGTCATTTTTTATGGCTGAGTAGTATTCCATTGTATATATATACTACATCTTCGTTATCCATTCACTTAAGTTACTTCTAAGACTTGGCTACTGTGAATAATGCTGCAACGAACATAGGGGTGCATATATCTTTTAGAATTAGTGTTTTCATGTTCTATTGGCTAAATATCCAGAAGTAGAATAACTGGATTATATGGTATTTCTATTTTTAATCTTTTAAGAAATTTCCATACTGTTTCTCATAGTGGCTGCACCAATGTACATTCCCACCAGTAGTGTATGAGAGTTCCCTTTTCTCCACATCCTCTCCAACACTTGTTATTTCTTGTCTTTTTAATAATAGCCATTCTGATGGGTATGAGATGATATCTCATTGTAGTTTTGATTTGCATTTCCCTAATAATTAGTGATGTTGAACATCTTTTCATGTGCCTGTTGGCCATCTGGATATCTTCTTTAGAAAAATGTCTGTTCATATCCCCTGCCTATTTTTTGATCAGGTTGTTTATTTTTTGTTGAGCTGTATGAGTTCTTTATATATTTTGGAGATTAACCCCTTAACAGATATACGATTTGCAAATATTTTCTCCCAGTTGGTGGGTTGTCTTTTCATTTTGTTGATGGTTTTCTTTGTCTTGTAGAAGCTTTTTAGTCTGATGTAGTCCCATTTGTTGATTTTTTCTTTTGTTTCCCGTGCCTGAGTAGTTATGGTATTCAAAAAGATGCTGCTAAGACCGATGCCAAAGAGCATACTGCCTATGTTTTCTTCTAGGAGTTTTAGGGTTTCAGGTCTCACATTGAAGTCTTTAATCCTTTAATCTTGAGTTAATTTTTGTGTTTGGTGTGAGATAATGATCTACTTTCATTCTTTTGCATGTGGCTGTCCAGTTTTCCCAATACCATTTATTGAAGAGACTTTCCTTTCTCCACTATGTTCTTGGCTCCTTTGTCAAAGATTAGCTGTCCATAGATGTGTGGGTTTATTTCTGGGCTCTCAATTCTGTTCCATTGATCCATGTGTCTGTTTTTCTGCCAGTACCATGCTGTTTTGATTAGTATAGCTTTATAGTATTTTTTGAAACCAGGGAGTGTGATACCTCCAGCTTTGTTGTTTTTTCTCAAGATTGCTTTGGCTGTTTGGGGTCTTTGTTTTTCCATATAAATTTTAGGATTCTGTGTTCTATTTCTGTGAAGAATGTCATTGGGATTCTGACTGGGATTGCATTGAATCTGTAGATTGCTTTAGGTAAAATGGGCATTTTAACTATGTTTATTCTTCCAATCAATGAGCACGGAATATCTTTCCATTTCTTTACGTCGTCTTTGATTTCTTTCAATAATGTCTTATAGTTTTCAGTGTATAAGTCTTTCACCTCCTTAGTTAAATTTATTCCTAGGAATTTTATTCTTTTTGTTGCCATTATAAATGGAATTGTATTCTTGATTTCTCTTTCTGCCAGTTCATTGTTAGTGTATAGAAATGCAACTGACTTTTTTATGTTGATTTTATACCCTGAAACCTTACTGTATTTGTTAATTATTTGTAATAGTTTTTTGGTGGATTGTTTAGGGTTTTCTATATATAGAATCATGTCATCTGCAAATAGTGTTGGTTTTACTTCTTCCTTTCCAGTTTGGATCCCTTTTATTTCTTTTTCTTGCCTAATTGCTCTGGCTAGGACTTCCAATACTATGTGGAATAAGAGTGGTGAGAGTGGGCATCCTTCTCTTGTTCCTAATCTTAGAGGAATAGCTTTCAGTTTTTCACCACTGAGTATGATGTTGGCTGTAGGTTTGTCATATATGGCCTTCATTATGTTGAGGTACTTTCCTTCTATACTCATTTTATTGAAAGTTTTTATCATAAATGGATGTTGAATCTTGTCAAACGCTTTCTCTGTATCTACTGTCTCTCCACTTATTGACATTCTATGCACCCTCTGAAGTTCAGCTCAAATATTTCCTCCCAGCAAAGCCTTCCTAGATCTTTCCATCCTGAAAAAATTCTTTCTATTCTAGACTTCCACAATACATTATGCCATGAATAGAGCACTCAACAGATATATTATAGTTATAAAAACACTTAGGTCTTTTACTAGATTGTAAGCTTCTTAAAGACAAGAACCACCTCCTTGAATATCCCCACAGTATTCAGTATAGTGCCTTGCAAGAATGATCTCAAGTAGCTAAGAGTTTCTTGTCACTTTTGCTATATAAAGACAAGAGGCAAAAAATATTTAAGAGTAGGTAGCCAGCCTGTGTCTTTAAAATCTGAGTCTTCCTAAGACGGAAGTCAAGACCTCATCTGTGGGTTCATAATGCTGCAAGTGCTAAAGCTGTTACTGGACAGTAGAAGACTAGAAAACACAAAGGAAGTGTTGTCATTTTTAATTTTTGCTCTAGTTAAATTTAAGTAATTAGAAATCAGGGAACAAGTCCTACATTTCTACAATGCTAAAGACCAAATTTTACTCATAGTAAGAGCTTAACTTATATGATATAAGGAGAAGTTTTCAGTACTCTATTTTGAATTCTGAACGAAAAGACATACAATAGTTATACACACCAGAATTACATGTGTACAGTTGCAAAAGGCACTTCATAATCTCTGAATGGAGATACTTGTTTTTAGCATTTGCATTTGCAAGGAAACTTCATTTTGTCCCTGAAAGATACTTTGGGTCACTTCCCCTCCAGTCCAAATCTCACCTGGCGAGATATGCAGCATTTGGTTGTCTGGACCTCTGAGTATGACCCACTGGCCAATAACCCTGGATGGAAAAAGAATGGAGCAGGCTTGATGGTGAATAGTCGATTTGGATTTGGGTTGCTAAATGCCAAAGCTCTGGTGGATTTAGCTGATCCCAGGACCTGGAGCAGTGTGCCTGAGAAGAAAGAATGTGTTGTGAAGGACAATGACTTTGAGCCCAGGTAAGTGTCTCTAAGAATTTTAAACAAATGTGTGTCCATGGCACTATTTAATTATGATGTTTGTCACTCTGCCTAATTCTTTTCTCACCTACCCTTATAAAGTAGATGGAGATGGCATTTGCCAGTGTTCCCTGTGGGTCCCTGGGGAACCACTGAGAAATCAAAGATCTGCAAATCATGTTAGCATATTTGCATTTTCCTCTCATAGCCTACCCACTATATAGCATAATTCTAAGGTACACCATTGTTTTACATACCACTAAGAAAAATCACTGCCAATTAAACTATTATGAACCATCAGTTTTAAGAGTCATCCCAAATTCAAAGACATTAAAATGTTTTTAAAAAATGCAGCTTAGAATTGATGAAATGCAGTACTTGGCAACCAGTGTTATCCAAAACCTTCCCAAAGAACCTCACTTTGTGCCACAGTGCTATGTGATTCATAACTTTTCTTCCATGAAAGATCCTTTATCATACTGCTTTTACATAGACCACATCTGGCCCACCACATCTGGCTACAGAAGCATAATCTGGTGTGACTATTTTGTTGACTCTACCAAGGCAACTATGATTATACTGAAGACTCACACAAAATACCCAAGGGTGGGAGGCTTACGGAGCATGCATTAGGTAGATAAAATCATTTCTTAAGAGGGTCTGTTGCAGTAATGGACCGCTTTTTGAAGGATATAAAGCAAATCTGCCTAAATTCGATTCCACAGCAAATAGCATTGTATTCAAGTATCTGGATTCCTTATCACTTTCTTTTCTTTTCTTTTTATTGTGGTAAGAAACTTAACATGAAATCTACCCTCCTAACAAATTTTTAAGTGTACAGTACATTATTGTTGACTATAGGTACAACGTTGTACAGCTGTTCTCTAGAACTTATCTTGCTTAACTGAAACTTTATGCCCATTGATTAGTAACTTTCCATTTCCTGCCCTCCCCCAGCCCCAGACAACCACCATTCCACTCTTTGATTTTCTGAATTTGACTTTTAGATACCTCATATAAGTGGAATCATGAGTATTTATCTTCCTGTGACTGGCTTATTTTACTTAGCATAATGTCCTCAAGTTTCATCTGTATTGTCACATAGTGCAGAATTTCCTTTCTTTTTTTAAAGCTGACTAATATTCCATTGCAAGTATACACCAAATTTTCTTTATCCATTCATCTGTCGATGGACATTTAGCTTATTTCCACATCTTGACTATTGTAAATAGTGTTGCAATGAACATAGGAGTGCTAATATCTCTTTGAGATTCTGATTTCAATTCTTTGGGATAAATATCCAGAAGTGGGATTGGTCGATCATATGGTAGTTCTAGTCCTAATTTTTTGAGGGAAAAAAATACTATTTCCCATAGTGGCTGCACCATTTTGGATTCCCACCAATTGTGCAAGGGTTCCAGTTTCTCCATATTCTCATCAACACTTGTTGTCTTTTGTTTTTTTGATAACAGCCATCCTGACAGGTGTTTTAATTTGTAGTTTTGATTTGTATTTCCCTGATGATTAATGACGGTGAGCATTTTTTCATATGTTAGTCAATAGAAATGTCTATTCAGGTCCTTAGTTCATTTGTGAATTGGGTTATTAGTTTTTTTGCTATTGAGTTGTAGGAGTTCGTATATATTTTGGAGATTAACCCCTTATCAGATATTGTGTCCCACTCTGTAGGTTGCCTTTGCTCTGCGGAAGCTTTTTAGTTTGATGTAGTCCCATTTATTTATTTTCATTTTTGCTGCCTATGCTTTTGGTGTCATATCTATGAAATCACTGCCGAGACCAATGTCATAACATTTTTTCTCTATGTTTTCTTCTAGGAGTTTACAGTTTCAGGGCTAATGTTTAAGTCTTTAGCCTATTTTGAGTCAATTTTTGCATATGGTGTTAGATAAGGGTCCAATTTCATTCTTTTGCATGTGGATATCCAGTTTCCCAACACCATTTGTTGAAGAGACTTACCCTTTCCCATTATTTGCCCATTCTTGACACCTTTGTAGAAGGTCAGCTGACCTCACATGCATGGATTTATTTCTGGGCTCTCTATTCTGTTCCTTTGGTCTATACATCTGTCTTTATGCCAGTTTCATACTATTTTGATTACTATAGCTTTGTAATATATTTTGAAATCGGGAAATATGATGCCTCCAGATTTGTTCTTCTTGCTGGGATTGATTTGTCTATTTGTGGTCTTTTGTGGCTCCATATAAATTGTAGAGTTGTTTTTTTAATTTTGGTGAAAACCTTACCCATTGCCTTATGCATTAAAATTCATTTATACCTAATCCTGAATTGGGTTCTGCTCATAACAGGGAGAGAAAACAAGCCTAGCTGAGTAGTTAAGAGTGATGCATACACAGCTGCATAAAATGCAAGGGAGAAGAGATACATTATACTCAGTGATGATTCTTTAATGTATTTAGAGCCCTGAAAGCTAATGGAGAAGTTATCATTGAAATTCCAACAAGAGCTTGCGAAGGACAAGAAAATGCTATCAAGTCCCTGGAACATGTGCAATTTGAAGCAACAATTGAATATTCCCGCAGAGGAGACCTTCATGTCACACTCACTTCTGCTGCTGGTGAATTAAAAAACAAAAACTTCAAGAATTTCTTCTAAACTATTTGTTTAAATTTTTAAGTGTAAATTGAATGACTTCAAATCAATGACTGTTTTTGTTAATTTATAGGACTAAGTCTTCCAATAGATATTTTCAAGTCTTAAAAAATATGCTAATTTTTAATTCATTTTTCTTGGCATCAGAACTCTGCCCCACTCATTCCCACTGGTCCTTAGATAAGCAGAGAATGAAGCCTATTCAAATAACACCAATCAATAAACTTTCCTGGAGTCACATATTGTCAAACTGTGTTCAGTTTCCCAGATCACTAATCTATCATTCATTTCTCTCAGCTAACACGTTAGTGAAAGTTACTCTGACAATTAATTAATAAAGCTGACAAATACATCAGACACATCCATGAAATCAATTGAAAAACTGAGAATTCATATCCATGAACGAGGGTTGAGAAGACTAACAAATTTTTCATAATGATATGATTAAGGCCATATGATATGATATATGCACATTTCCCATTCCTGAGAGGGTACTAATCCAGAACAGATCCTGGATGGGAAAGAGTTTGTGAACCATAAACAACAATCCAACCAGGAGAAGCTGTCCCAATACTCTCTCATGTTTCAGTAGGATTCAACTGACTAAATTCAATTTCTATAGGTGATATATGAGGAGGGATGAACTATCATCTCTATAATCTCCTTCCAGGATATGAACTTCCTAGAGGATTGGAGTAGGCTCCGTTAATTTTGGAGTTATGCTTTCTAGATGTCTTAGAATTGACCTGGAGTATTGGTGGAGTGCTTTTTCGCTGATGGCCCTATAGTTATTGGACTCTTTCACTTAGAAAGAAATATTATTTATTGATCTATAGAGAGCTTAAATTTGAAAATTTAGAGTTACTCCTACTTCTAGTTTTTATATGACTATATATAGTCATATATATATATAGTCATATATATAGTCACATAGTTATATATATATAAAACTATATATAGTTTTATATTAAATTAATATAGCTTTTTTTTTTATGTCTACATTAGATTATAGATTCAGGTACCCATTAAATTTTCAAGATTTCCTCTTAAATTTCAAAATGATAGTTCTACAAAAATATATTTCAGATCTTTAACTCTCTTCTTTAATGTAACATATAAATGTAGTTTTCTCTGAGCTCTCCTTATTCAAATAAACCTTAATCAATATATTCGTCATTACTATTTTTCTATAATAATTATTGAGAACTTATAATGCCAGGCAATATGCTAAGTACAGTGGATAAAAACTTTTTTTTCTTGTGAATGTCTCTATTCTAGTCTTATACTAAAAGGGAAAATTAGGAGGGCTAATCTCTCCAAGTTTTCATTTTCAGTTATTAGATGCTAGAGTGTATCCTACTGTCAGAGCTGTTAGGACATGCATTAACCTGTGTTTGTTGCATGAAAATAGGAACCAGCACTGTACTGTTGGCTGAAAGAGAGCGGGATACATCTCCTAATGGCTTTAAGAATTGGGACTTCATGTCTGTTCACACATGGGGAGAGAATCCCATAGGTACCTGGACTTTGCGAATTACAGACATGGTAAGTATGAAGGAAAGGATATAGAAACACAAGCTCACTTTTAAACAGTCTGAAGCACTTTTAAGATTGGTATCATCATTAATCAAAGCCCTAAGGAATTTTAATCATCCTTAGGAAAAGTAAGGAAAAGATATAGTATTTCAAGTCCTGCCCACTTGGCTATATAGATTAGAAACAAAAAGATTAAGCACCGACCATACTATAAGAAAGAAAAAAGATAGGAGCCGGCCCGGTGGCACAAGCAGTTAAGTGCAAGCGCTCCACTTTGGCGGACCGGGGTTTGGAGGTTCGGATCCCAGGTGTGCACCAACGCATCGCTTGTCAAGCCATGCTGTGGCAGTGTCCCATATAAAGTAGAGGAAGATGGGCAAGGATGTTAGCTCAGGGCCAATCTTCCTCAGCAAAAAAAGAGGAGGATTGGCATCAGATGTTAGCTCAGGGCTGATCGTCCTCACAAAAAAAAAAAAAAAAAAGGATATACTGATACACAATGTAACAGACTATGGGACAAATGCAAGTGTTCCCCTGTCAGACAGCAGCCAGCCACATGACCTCCTCAGCCACTAGAATCACCTGTATTCACAAAGATAGTTAGATCCTAGACCGGCTTTGCTATGACACTCTGCTGGGGTCACATGAAGGCACTCTGACAAATATTTACTGCAGTGGCTATTTAGAAGTAGCTTACTTGCTAGACAAGATATCTTATTTAGCATGGCTTGTTTTGTTTCAGTTATGAAACAAACTGAAAAGCATTTCTCATTTCTCTTTCACTCTGTTTACAAACACTCTTTGATATCTTTCTAAAATTGTGACATATAATCACAAAAATAAAGCAAGGAGTGTCTAAGCAAAAAGCCAAATACAGCTGAATTATTTATTTTTGTACCATTTTGCCATCATTTTCTTGTTTTTTTTTTGTTGTTTTTTTTTTGTGAGGAAGATCAGCCCCAAACTAACATCCATGCTAATCCTCCTCTTTTTGCTGAGGAAGAGCAGCTCTGAGCTAACATCTTTGCCAATCCTCCTCCTTTTTTTTCCCCCCAAAGCCCCAGTAGATAGTTGTATGTCATAGCTGCACATCCTTCTAGTTGCTGTGGGGTGCGGCCTCAGCATGGCCGGAGAAGCGGTGCCTCGGTGTGCGCCTGGGATCCGAACCCGGGCCACCAGTAGCGGAGCTCACGCACTTAACCGCTAAGCCACGGGGCCGGCCCTCGCCAGCATTTTCTTATAGGTCAGCATATAAACAAATAGAATTTCGGGTCGGAGTTCTCCCGAGATAGAAGTGTCATAAGTGCCAGCAGCACCAGATTTCAATGTTTAGATAACTTAAAAAAAAAAAAAATTATTTTAAATTCCTGAAAGTGTCAATTACGTTAATACAAATCCTATAATCATTGTTACTTTTTTCCTCCAAGAATAGCTTTCTCCTAAAGACTGCTAAAATTGTGATTTAGAATTGGAAGTTGTAAAAATTCCTGCTCTCATAGGGAGAACGAGAAAATGTTCTTAGTAAGTGGTCCCATTCTTGAACTTGGCTTCCATTCTTTAACTCAATTTCACCTTCAGGAAACTAAGAAAATCTATTTACTAAAATGGGACTATTTTATATCAAGTCTGCAAAATCTGACTCTACACTTTTAGATGTTTTAGATTTCAGCACATTATTTTTAACATAATTGTTAAGCCTCTGGAAATTTACTCTTCCCATAAATATATAGTTTTTAAGGACTGAGTAATGCTGAAGGCTATTTATGATACTTCATAAAGGCTGACTTTTTCCCAATGGAATGTTTCTATAAGTTGATAATTGGTAAATATAATTCTATTTATAGAAGGTACAGTCAACTTTTCAAGACCACACCCAATTTAGAAAAGGAGATTCATATAGAGAGTTCTGCTTTCTTAATTAAATGAGGAAATTAAGCAGTGTTTAAATTCTTGAAACTGTAAACTGTCAATTTTCATAGCAAGGGTGAATTCAGTGATTTACCTCTTTGTACATACAGCTCTACAGGCAGAGAATTTTTAAATTAGATTTTAGCTATGAAATTCTTTTTAGACACTTTGAAGCAGTTTGTTTGCTATTACTCAGAACACACAGTAAAATTATGTATGCTTATTCGTTAGTCTGGAAGACTGGAAAATGAAGGAAGAATTGTGAACTGGAAGCTCATTCTGCATGGGACCTCTTCTCAGCCGGAACACATGAAACAGCCTCGTGTGTACACGTCCTACAACACGGTTCAGAATGACAGAAGAGGGGTGGAGAAAATGGCGGACTCCGGGGAGGTCTGTGTGGCTCTGTTCTTCTTGGCATGCTCTTTTTTGAACTGTAGTAGACAGTGCAGTGAGGGAAGCTGCACATAGCTTTCAGGCAGGGTGTGCCTCAAACATGGGTGGGGAGGAAAGGGAGTAGGGGTGGTGAACTATTTTCCATAGGATGAAAGGCTATCATTTTTTAATTTATTCTTTTATCCAGAATTTAGAGATTAAAATTAATGAATTCGAAATTATAAAATTCAGTACCATGAACTTTCTCCATTTATGACAGATATCAAATTGTAAAGTGAGCTGTTTTTATGTATGATCACATATACCTACCATTTGTATTATACTTACTTTTTAAGCATTTTTCACATTGTCTCGTTTAACCAATAATCCCTGTAACCTAGAAAGGATAGACATTAGTATGTTTATTTTGCAGAAAGAAAACCAAGGCTCAAGTGACCAAATCCTGTAGGCTTCCGTTTACTAATTCCTTAACCCACACTTCTTGGCAACTCTGAGGGGAGCTACAGAATCACAATTTCTCTCAGAAAATTTCAGAGGAGAGCTCAAGTCAGTCATTCACCTTCCTGCATCTCAGCCTGCTGAGGCTGCCGGCTTGTCCCTTATCAGACGGCGGGCAGACACCACATTTTCTTTATCTCTGTAGCCCCCAGCATCTAGCACAGTGCCTCAGATGTAGCAGGTGGGTTACCAGAATTTCTAGAATGACCTTCCCTGAAGACTGGCTCTGTGATGGGTGTTTGGGAAGATACAAAGACACAGTATTTATTCAAGAAACTTATAAACTAGTTGTGTGAAGTCCTCAGCTCAGACTCTGGCCCCAGTTACATTCTGCAGCTTCCCCTGGGACCCCCCCCAAGGGCCTTCTCCTCACAGTCCCACAGGCAGGTTGACCTTGTGGGTATTTCTCCCTCCGAGATTCCTTAAGGGGAATTAATAAGACCCTTTGGTTGTTAAAATGTTAAAATACGTTCCACAACAGTTGACAAAGAGCTTCTTCTCTGATATCTCCAGTTTCCCTATACCCGGACCACCACCCCAGTCTCTCCCAAGACCTCTTCTTAAAACTCAGCAGCTGAAAGGGTAGCTCCTGATAAAGCAAGAGGCCTCCAGGAAGCTGCTCCCACATAACAGCACCGTTGGGGCCTTCTGTATGAGCTATTAAATATTTTAGTATCAGCTCCTTCCCAAAACATGAATGGGGAGGAAAGGGAGTAGGAGTGATAAACAGGGAGTAGGAGTAGGAGTATATTTTCCGTAGGATGAAGCCTTATTATTTTTTAAATTTATTCTTGTATCCAGGATTTAGAAATTAAAATTAATGCATTCAAAATTATTAAATTCCCTAACATGAATTCTACTATAGCAGGCTGACAAGTGAAGGAGACCAGTAAGGTAGGAGCACATAGAAATATCATCTCATTCAGTCTTCAAAACCACCAGAAATGGAGGTGTTCTCATTTCCATTTTACAGATGAAGTTCAAGGAGATTTAAAAGGTGCCAAGGGTACATCAGTAAGTGGAAAAATGAGGAGTGAAACCCGAGTTAGTGTGACCGCAAGGCTCGTGCTGTCTCTGCTCCCCAAACTGCCTCTCAAGGGGCAGGCAGTGGACATGTGCCATAGCTGGCTTGCCTGGCCCCAAATAATGAGGCTTCTTACCTTTGTTGGTGACACTCTGTGTTTTAGGAGCAGCCCACACAAGAGAATCTGATCAAGAAGCCCCTGGCGTCAAAAAGCCCCAGTGGCGGCAGCATGGGGGGCAGAAGGGATCAGCTGGCGGAGGGAGCCCATTCCGAGGCCATGCTGCGACTCTTACAAAGTGCTTTCAACAAAAACTCACCCCCACAGCAATCACCAAAGAAGTCGCCAAGTGCAAAGCTCAACATCCCTTATGAAAATTTCTACGAAGCCCTGGAAAAGCTGAACAAACCTTCCCAGCTTAAAGACTCCGAGGACAGTCTGTATAACGACTATGTGGATGTTTTCTATAACACGAAACCTTACAAGCACAGAGACGACCGGCTGCTACAAGCGCTGGTGGACATTCTGAGGGAGGAAAATTAAAATAAGGGTGTGGCCCTGAGTTGGAAATATTCATGCTTCTTCCTTCTCTTTAGATTTTGCCTGTGTCTGATGTGGTTGTTTTTGTCATGGATTCTTATGCTTCTAATAACCTTTGTGGTACTTTTTCTTTTTCTCTCCAAACTGGACATTTGAAAGTGATGAGCTCAAGCAGTAAATCCAACTTCCTGCATTAATCGTAGCTCTTTCACGACACATCTTCCCTGCCTGCATGAGTCAAATGTTTTGTTCTTTCTGGAGCCACAGTTCACACACCACATTAGAACGCCTCCTTGGGCCCTCCCATTTCATTTCTCAAAAGAAGAGGCATAACCTGGGCAATAGATTAATTTGAAGAAGTAATCTGCAAAGAATGAGAGAAAGAAAACTGTCCCTATAGCTTGTCCCCTGTCTTTGCCATGTGGTTCTTCTAATTTTGGTGCCAAAGGAGGATCTGGAAAGTCTCTAATAAAGAGTTCACAATTCGACCCATTCTCTAGGCTTGTTTACTCCAAAGTACTACTCATTCAGGGAGAGACCATCTGGTCATTTTAGGTAAAAGATGGGTTATTTAGATCCAGAAACAGACCTTGAAATCTGCATTATCTGGTTTGAGCAATTTTAGAGCATTCTTCTTTGCTCCGTGTGCCATGGAGAGTCCTCTGTGGAGCTAAAGGCCACTGTGGCTCATGCCGTGTGCTCTGTTCTTCCTCTATTTCCCCTTCTGAAGGTTCTCCTTACCTCTCTTCTTTCTCAGCTGCAAACTAAGTACTGAGAGAACTAATTTATACTACTTAGAACAAACTTATACTTGGGACTCAGCAAATTCCTAGTCATAATTTTTTTAACAATAATAATAGTAAACCACTCATAACATGGAGAACCAATGTAACGATAAGAAAATATTCATAGTAGGGAGAGCCAATGGGAGGTTTTGTTTGTTTTTTAAGTTGTATTCATTAGAACAGGTTTTTCTGGATCTTTGAAACTGAGTGTTCATTCCTTGACACTAAAGGCTCTTCCCTAGTCTTACAGCTGATAGCATCTAAGCTTCAACTCAGAGGACTCAAGCTGGCAGCCCACAGGCTGAATTTGTCCCTCAGGTAGATTTTGTTTGGCATGTAAAATGTTTTTAAAATGTGAGTGATTATTGAAAATATGAGATCTCACATTTCTGATTCTCAGACCCACCTTCCCTCATGGCAACAGTTGGCTGGAGCTGAGTAGCAGCTGCCCAGCTAGACTTGAGTGCCAGGTCCCCATGGCACTCTGCTCCATGCTGCTTAAAGTGGCCACCTTACTGGCGAGCACTCGGTAGGCATTTGATTTTGCCCATTCCTGCACTAAATGAACATGTACAACGTGTAAATGCATGAGGAAAAAAATATCCTTGACTTCTTTCAGGCAGGATCTGTATGGTAACCAATAATTACAAGAATTTGCCATGATCTAATTAATTTATAGGCAAGAATAAAAAGGTATTTTAGACCCCCGAAAGTACCTGTAAAATCTAGCCTGACATATTCGTTTAACCTCCCCTCACCTGGATGCTCATTGACACTAATTCATTAGCTGCCAGCCCACTAGCTTCCCATTCTCTCTATGCTCACAAGGGCTCTAGTCCCCTGCAATGCTGGCATTCTCCCGTTGAGTTTGCTGTGTGCAATTCTTCCATGAAGTTTGAACTTCCTAAGACCACACATGAACCAGACCAAGAAGAGAACTGCAATGAACTAGACCAGGAAGAGAACGCTAGAGTCTGTCATTTGCTTTGGTTTGAAGTGTGGTTGGTAAGACAAACTTTCACCCCCTATTCTACCGTTTAAATTTGTGCAGAACAAGGGCTTTCCAGAGCATACTCATGATGCTTAGAGGATGTTCTCCTAAAAGAATTACAGTACCACTCTGTCCTTGGAAGTTTCACATGTTGTTTGATATAAGGTGTTGGATAGAATTTTGAATATGATAGCACGTCAAAAAATTTGAAAGCTGAAAAGGACCAGAGAGTTATTAGGTACATTTTCAACTAAAAAACAAAGCTAAAGCCAATAAAAAGTAATAAATGAAAACTCACCCTTTCCCCATTCCTAATTGAGTGCCAACTGTAGGAAGCTTTCTTTTTCATCCTTCTAACAGTATCTTTTCCTGCTTAAAACCCCAACCAACTCATTGGATTATAGCCAAAGGTTCACTCTAGAGAAGCTTTAAAATTTAAATAAAGTCATGTTTGAATGTTTCCAATGTGGAGAATATTGTTTGGACATAAAATATTTTTGTCAGTCTTTCTTAGTGCCTGTGTGGATTTTTGTGAAAATATAAAAGAAGAAACTTATATAATATTTCCCTCGGAATTTTGAACTATATTTTCTTTACAGGTATTTATAACGTACCAATGCTTTTATCAAACAGAATTTTAAAAGGCATAATAAATTATATTAAAGGACCAAAATTTTCCTGAGAATAAGAAAGTTTCATCCAATAAAGTATTTTTTGAAAGGCATGTTCCTCTGTCAGTGAAAAAAAGTGTAATATGTATGTGTTGTGATATTAAAAGTGACATTTGTCTATAGCTTAATACAATGTGTAGCTGAGTTTTACATGTGTAGTCTTAGTACTCTTAAGGGAACTCCTATATTATACACTTGATGTATTAACCAGAATATGTAAAATATGCTTATAAATTAGAATAAATCATTTCTAAGTCAAAAAGAAAAAAAGCTCATGTTGCCAACGAAAACAGGATCTCTCTCTTACTTTTTGTGTTTCCCAAATGGACTGTAAAAAAGAAAAGCTGAAGGTTTATAGTAAGTTAATTCATTTTTAGAAAAATGGGCTTTTTAGGAGGCAATTTAAGAATCTACTTGAATAGATAAATTTCATTTTTCTTTATAGTCCATTCTTTCACTTTCTTGACAACACAAGGTTGTATGAGCCTTAACTGAAGTGTTGAGGGAAAAAAAACCAAAGGGACTTCCTACATGTGAGAGAAATGACAACAGTTCACTCAACATGACTGTCTTTATAGGTCAGATTACAGCAACTAAGCATTAAATCCTTCCCAGAGGCCCCCTCGTCAGAAGCCCCCAGTTCCCAACTTTGGCCTCCTTTTCTTGCCTGCATCAAACCTCCACCCCTGGAATTTCCACTCACCATTTCAGAATCTGACCACTTCCTACCCAGGGGGGTTGGTTTCCCCCAGACTCCATTCATTTCTTCTAAATCATAATTATTCAATCAAACTAAAATAATTTTTCAAGAATTCCAGAAGGACTGTTCTACCCAGCTTTTGTCCTCCACGTCCAGCCATCTTCAAAGTCTTCCCACCAGGAAGGTTGAAGATGTGTCTCTGTTCTCTTTTGAATGCCCATTTGGTAACTATTGGCTTAGCCACGTGCAGGCTGCAAGCACAAACGGAAGTGCACACACATGTCCCAAGGACAGCCATTAATTCTTTTTGTTTTCTTTTTTTGATGAAGATGATTGGCCCTGAGCTAACATCTGTTGCCAATCTTTCTCTTTTTGCCTGAGGAAGACTGTCGCTGAGCTAACATCCATGGCAATCCTCCACTATTTTGTATGTGGGACTCAGCAACAGCATGTCTTGATGAGCAGTACATAGGTCCGCCGCGGGATCCGAACCTGCAAACCCCCGGCTGCTGTAGTGGAGTGCGCAAACTTCACCACGACACCATGGGGCCAGCCCCCCGGCAACCATTAATTCCAAAATACAAATTAAACCTATCAGGAGGAAGAGCAATGTTTCCTTAACTGCCTCATCATTTTGCGAGGCTACAGCACTAGCACACGTGATGGTGATTATTACTCACTCCACCCCCTCCACTCCTGTGAACAGAGTGTATTTCCTGGCCGTCAAGGTTGAGCTTGACCATGTGATCTGCTTTGGTCAATGGAACATTAATGGACATGATACAAGCCAGGCCTTAAATGTGCTTGCACAGTTTGGCTTGGCTCTTGCTTTTCAGTGATCCCGTGCTACGAGAAGGGGACGCCCCAGGGAGCTACGGCTCCTTCAGCCTGTTTCCAGAACAAATGTGTATGGCACAGATTCACATTCTAGAACCAAACCCAGCCAACTCACAGCATGAAACAGAACCATTCAGATGAGTGTAGCCTAAATAAGCTGAACATCTTTTACCTTGGCAACTTGTGAGAATGAGAATAAATGCTTGTTGTAAGCCACTGAGCCTTGGGGTAGTTTGTTACACAGCCTTACTATGTCAACAAAACCGACTAATAAAATAAAAGTTTCACTTGTTCATTCTACTACCAATACCACCCCTTTCAAATTGTGCCTTCTTGAGCCTAGAGTACAAAAAAAGAGCTGGTATTAAACCATACACCTCTTAATGCTGATCCCATAGCTAAACAAAGACCCTGCCCAAGATTTGAAATTTTCATTTTTAAAGGTCTGTTTTAGCTTAGTTCCTCCTGAAAGCAGAGCCTCAGATAATTAATGACTTGAGTATAGGTAGTTTATTTAGGAGGTAATAGCAGAGAGCAGAAGTGACTTACACGTACCAGAGAGTAGCATGGAGAAACGTTGATCAGTAGTACAGATCAGTGGCCATCAGTAACTGCACAGGGCTTCCCAAAGGCTAGAATGGATGTTTCAGCTGATACTGGCATTGGAAGAAGATAACTCAGAACAGACATCTATGCTCCCCTCACTCTCTTATCCCCACCCCATCCATGCTTTGATATTTCCATTAGCCTCTCTCAGAAGTTTGATGCAACCCTAGATTAAGGGAATAAAACTTGATTGGCTGAGATCAAGTTGACACCACTTCTTAGAAAGGGAACTCAACAGAAATGAAGTTCTGTTATTGAAAATGAAGTAACTTTTGCTCACTTGGGTTTTGGCTTGCAATTTGTACATTTGTACAATTCATATTGCCTGTATATTGCTACATATGTAAGCATTGCTCTATCATCAATGTATGGACAAAGAGATGACTATGGACATTTCGTGTCTGCCATTCTCAAGGCATGTGTGAGAGAGGCAGAAATCACTTTCCTGGTTTCTATACTGGGCCTCTACCATGGGTGCTACTTCCAGACAATTTGCCTGGAATGCCACAAAGCACTTTCACTCTCCTCCAAACCCACATACCCTCCACCTCCACATAACCTCATATTGTATGTGTCTTCATTGAGTATTTATCTGGGAAGGGAGTTACAAGCTCAAAAAGAGTTCTTGTTCATAGAAGAGGGTAGGGAAAACATTCTCTGACTTGTTCCTGCAGAGTTATCTTGATTGCTCCCTTCCTCTGTCAGTTTCTTTATCCCTGTCCCCAGGAGCCCCAGTAGCAGGTGATTTATAAATCTAGATGATGTTTTGATGGGAGAAGAGTAGGCTCTAGGCCTGGTTCAGCCTTAAATACTTTACAGTTGCTTCTTACAGCATCATTTCTCTTCCAGACACTACCAGAGCCCAGCCCAAAACTCATTCTTGGGGAGGGTCCAGAGATCTCCCTACTTCATGCACAATTTTCAGTTGACAGTCACATTCACCGAAATGAGTGTCCCTTGAGTGTTCCACAGTAGTGTGCATGAAGCCGGTCTGTTTTGGATGAGGAAACGCTTTTTGGATAGTGTAAACTTTGAACCAAAAATTCTAAAGATAAGAGGGATTTGTAATGAAAGAGAAATGTATGGGTTGTTTCAAGTTCTCTTGTCAGAGAGAACCAGAGTGACGAAAGCCACCTGTGAGACCTTATCCACACCAACAGAGCGCTCATCGGTGGATCAAGCCCACTCTGCTTATCTGAACACCCACGCCTTTCCTCTGGTCACTCTTGACCAGCATTTACTGAGCTTTCATGACATGAATGAATGGGCCTGAATCAGCTGCCACTTTGTTATGATGCTATTTTTACTTACAGAAACCAAAAAGCCACAAGCTTTAGGTTTATCAATTATTTG